CTCATCCTTGGCAGTGAAATCCCAAAGGTGCCATATGCATTGACTACATGTGGCCAAGTCTTCCCTTGGGAAGCATACAGACACAACACACATCCACAACCCAAAACAACAGCCTCACCAGGTGAGGGCCTTCTCTCATTCTTCCCAGTGCTCTTCCTCCCGCCAAATAACACACACCCCAAAGAAGATAGTTCTCACTTCAGCAGGAGGACTGAGCCTATAATCACCAGGTGAGACCCTCACTTGTCAGCTAACCTTCAAGTAAGACACAGCAGGAAGAAGTAGCAAAAGCTACTTCCCAGCAGGCAGGCAGGATTCATACACAAAGAACAGGGCAGCAGAATAGCAGCGAAATCTAAGCTGGCATTTTTCACTTCCTTGAAGATACTCCTCCTGCTTATAAACAAACATGGTGTACTGGGGCCAGCGGGGGAGGAGGCAGAAAGGTAGGGGCCCGCAGAAGCACTGTTCTTAAAATTAATAGTCTTAATAAGACCTCCAAGGTAATGCCGGCCAACACCCTTGTCTCATAGACAGAAAGCCGGGACCCAGGGTGGGTTGGCCTTAGGACTCCAATGTTGAGTCAGACCAGGGCTAGGGATAGAACCCAACTATGCTTCCAGCCCAACATCTTTCCGCTCACAATTCATCTTCAACGTTTACCCAGCTCCTACCCTGTGCCATACCACAGTGCCAGAAAACAACTCCTCAACCATCCCAAACCCTCCATTAACAGGATCATTTTTCTGCATTCCACTTTTTTAAAGTAGGCCCCAAGAAAAGGCAAGCTTATGTTTAAGAATTTATGGCCTTTTCTTTTCTTAATCATTTGTTTTGCAACAGTTGGGGAACATCTTGAGGACATCCCACATTCCTTCCCGTCTGTTCTACTTGTACACTGCTGACCCAGGGCACACTGACTTCACGCTCCCATCGCAGTTCTAGCGCTTCGCCAGACGTTCTGCCACCAAACTGAGATTCTGTTTTAAGTATTAGACTGCACTTTCTAAAAACCAACATTTTTAAAAAGATGTGCAATATGGAAATAAGGGTTTTTTTCCCTGCATAGCTATCAGTTATTTGGAAAATTTATTGAAGGACTCTCTTTTTTCCCATGCAGTGAAGTTTTTGTCTACTAACCCCAGCAGTGATGTTCTGGATCTAACATTCTGGGCCTCAGTCAAAATTCTGTCCAGAGACAATGAAGCAACACCTGCTCCTTGGAATACATACTTTAAAACAGTGCACTCCCCCAAGAAAACACAGGGCAACCTCTGTGTGCCCCTCCAGCACACATGAACATTTTCCTCAGTGGAAATGCATTCCTGCTTAGGTCTTGAGTTGTTTGTAAAGAAAACAAAGTATTTTAAAGAAGGCAAGCATCCCAGTCCTAAACAAGTTCCCATGAAGATACCAAACAGATTCTAACAAGGTCAACCTTGCTACTGCACTAAGTACCTCTTCTTTAATCCTTCATAGGCTGAGCCAAGGGAGTCAGGAGAACGGCAGCTGGCAAGAAAGCAGCATCTTATATTGATCTTCACTCCAAGATCTTTGCTCAGGGGGCACAAGCCTGTCCTGATGCCCACTGATTTCCATCTCCTGGGGATAACATTGACCAACTCCTTTGCTTATCCCAGGACCTCTGATTTCCTTCAACACAACCAGCGCACTCAGGTTCTAGGTACTTCAAAAAAGACCCTTGTGCCTGGCTAGCATGGCTCAGTGGTTGAGCATCGACCCATGCACCAAGAGGTCACTGGTTCAATTCCTGGTCAGGAAACATGCCCAGGTTGTGGGCCAAATCCCTAGCAGTAGGCAGCCAATCAATGTTCTCTCTCATCAATGTTTCTATTTCGCTCTCCTTCTCCCTTCCTTACTCTCTAAAATCCATAAAGGAAAGGAAAAAAAAAAAGAGCTTGTATGGGGGCAAAGGGTTGGAGAGGGAAATGAGCCACAATCACTGACCTAAAAACGTTCACAGCCAATGGCAACACAGACATCCACAAGCACCAGCTGGCTCTCCCTAGATGCCATCAGCTTGTCTTGAGGTCTCTGGCTAGAAGGAAGACACCCCTCTCCATCCTCAGAACACAGTGATAGGTCTTCCTTAAATGTTCTTTGATGTAACAGAGGCTTATAAAACCATGAAGAGATTGCTTAGAGAAAATGGGACTTGTGAACAAAAATCATAGGATTCTATACCAGAGGTCTTGGGAGCTTGAAGAGATCAATTTAGGGCCACTGTCAAGGCTGGGCAGAAGTGGAGAGGGTATTGGACCCAAACCTCAGAGCTTGTTTCTTTTTCCTTTTTTTTTTTTTTGTTAATCCTCACCCAAGGATATTTTTCCATTGATTTTTTTTTTAGAGAAAGTAGTGGGGAGGGAGGGAGGGAGAAAGAAACATCTATGTGAAAGAGACATATCGATTGGTTGCCTCCTGCATGACCCCAAATGGGGCCGGGGTTCAAACCTGCAACCCAGGTACTTGCCCTTGACCAAAATCAAACCCGAGACCCTTTAGTCCACAGGCTGATGCTCTAACCACTTATCCAAACCGACCAGGGCAGAGAGCCTGTTTCTTTACCAGCTCACCTCGTGTCCTTGGGTAAGTCACATTCCCTCTGAAGGAGAGGACAGGACCCATATATTTTGCAGATTCTATATTATCTAGAACCCCAATATACAAAACAGAAGGGGAATTGCTTGTGCTGAATCAGGGCTGGGGAGCCCAGAGCTGGGTGGCCCTCAGGGAAGCCAATTTGAAAACCACAGGAGTAGATTAAGTCAGAGAGCCCCTTCCAGAACTCTTACACCCACTTCAGTACCTGGTAAGGCAGAAGAGAGCATCAATTTATTGCTCTTCATGGTACTTGCCAACTTACATGCTGTCACTGAAATCTCTGCACAGAAACATGAGGTGAACTAGCCTATGAACTAGGATCTCTTGTAAACTGTGATTTGTTGGCAGGAAGCAGAACCGGGATTTGAACGAAGGATTCTGTGACTCCTGACATGGTATTCCTACTCCTTGCTAAGAGGTATATGGAAATTTAGGCTGAATCCATAATTTCCTTCCATTGTAATTATAAATGTGTATATATGCATAAGGAAGAACATACCTCTCAAAATGATCATTAGCTATCTCTGTGTGGTAATAATGTAGGTGATTTTCAGCCTATTCACCTTCATTTTCTAATTTTCCTACAATGAAGAGGTATTATTTACATGAAACAGCCACTGCTTATTAAAGTAGTTTTAATAATTCCTCAGTGACACTTCCATGTTGGGTTTCTGTGGAGAACTCGGGATTAGGGGAACAGGTGATATCTTTGACCTTTTGGAGTTGACAGTGGGAATAACAATCCTGAATCCCACAAACTCACTTGAGAGGGTTGTAGGCTGACTTGAGGGGCAGTTCTCATGGTCATTTAAGTTCTCTGAAGCTCTGCCTCTGGGGAGTGTGGTTGTTAGACTCCACCCAAATATATACCTTTCTCTCCACGCCCCTCAAATGCCTTGTATAGTTGGAGGTATGTGAACCCCAGAAGCCCACACTCCCCAGCCCAATAGTATCTATAGAGAGTGAGCCCTCCAGCCAGGCTGACTTAAGCTCTCTGGCCCCACCTGAGGCCCTCCCAGAAGCCACTGGCAAATATGAAGCGCTACTTTAGGAGAGAAAATACCACCCTGAAGGCAAGACAGGCTTTGGTGAGACATGAGGTGGGGCACCGAGTGCCAGCTTCTTCCCTGTATTATTCATGCAAGTTCTGCCCGCAGAAATCTCTTAAATATTTAACATGCCACCTTGAGGTACAGCACAAACGCTCAGCAGTCGGCAACAGCTGTGAAGAGGCCTGCAAGACCTGGGGGCTGAGGCATACACTCCGGTTTTGGTAGGAAAGCCCAGAATCACCAGGAGACAATGCCGAGAAAGACTTCAGGAGGCTACTCCTGACTGCTTCTTTGAAAATCAGTAAAGAACTGTGTAGGAAATGGGAGATGTTTCAAAACGTAGGGAGTGATGGTACCTGATCGAGGGGAGTCCAGAGCCCCTCTTTCTCAGACAAAGAAAAAGCCTGAGGATCACCTCCCACCCACTCGCCTAGACCAATTTCAGCCCGGACTCTACCCAGCAGGTGTCAAAATCTGACCTGCCTCAGAGGAGAATGGTCAGGGAAAGAGACCTGGAACAGCCTGGTCTATCTCCAAAGGAGAGTAAATCCACGAGGGAAGGAGCTCTTTAAATGTCTCCTCAGCTCTGGGACTTGAGAAAAAACGACCCCCAAGCCCACACCCAATGACTTCACATAGGCCTCACCCCAGATGATTCTGTGCTCTCCTGCAAGGCCTGGGAGGTGTCATCGCCACCATCGGGTGGCTGTCACTTGGAAATTCCCCGTGAATTACCGAAGATGCCTGCCCCTACCTCTCTCTCTCAACCCCAACCCCCCCGCCAAAGGAATCAGACACGGGGGACTTGCCTTTGCCGCTGTCAATTTGAGAAACCTAAAAAGGAGTGTTTTCAACCCCACTGGGAGCACCGCCTCCATCTCTCCACCCTTCTCCGCGCTGACCCCTCCAGGCAGCGCCCCAGGCTCGTCTGGGCTCTGTCTGTCATTTTTGCTTGACAAAAGCCTGGCGGCCGGCGGGGCGCAGCGACGGGCGACCCCAGCCAGCATTTCTCCCAAAGGAGGGAGCCGCGTGTCACCGCGGCGCGCCCATTTGGGGCCTCTGCAAATCTCACCAACGGGGGAACAAAGCGGCAGGGGCGCCCCAGCCCTCGCGGCCCCGCCCGCCGGTCCCCCGCGCCCGGGCCGGGCCCCGCAGGGCAGTCGCTGCGTCCTGCGGCGCCCGCTCGCCGGCGACCTCAGCAGCTACTGTACCTACTAAAATTAGCGGCCGCCGGGTATTAATAGCCGCAGCGCCGGGGGCGGACGCAGCCCGGGCCGGGGGTGGAGAAGAGGGAAAGGAAAGGACGCGGGGAAGAAGGCCACTTACACCACGAGCCTGGAGATGATCCATGACACCATGGCGGGCGGGCGGGCAGCGGCCCGAGCAGCGGGGCGGCTCGGGGCGGCTCCGGGCGGCTGGGCGGCTGCGGCGCTCCGGGCACGTCCGTTCGCGCACGGCCGCCGCCGCCAGACTGAGTGCGCCCGCCGCGCTGCCCGGCGCTCGCGCGTCGGCGCAGCCGCGGCACGTTGCGGCGGCAGCCCCAGCCCCCGGGGCTCGGTGGGCCCGCGGCGATTGGGCAGCGAGCAGGTCGGCCACCAGCTTGACCCGCCCCGCCCCGGCTCGCCCCGGGCCGCTGCTGATTTCGGACGGTTCTTCCGTGCGCCCTAGGGCACTAGCTGCTCAAGTGGAATCCTGAGGTGGCCCAACATGCAGGGCAGAGACCCTGGTGTCGCCCCACCCACAGTGTTATGGTGGGTAAACTGAGGCTGGGACCTGGACCTTGGGAATCTGTCTACCTGTGCCGGTTGGGATTCCGTCATCCCTACTCAGATACAGCGCCGGCCTCATGAGGGACGTACCTGTGCCCCTCCAATCTGCCCCTCACAGCATTAACTGCGTAAGAAACGAATCTGGGCATATGTCTCCCCTAATGAAAATTCTGTAGTCCCTACATGATCTAGTCTCTGCCTACCAGCTCACTGCCACCACCGCTCCCCAAACATCCCTTTACATCATTTTACTTCAGGCGGTTTGAACTTACATATGTGCTGTTCCTTCTAACCTGTTCATACAATGTATACTCCGTGCCTCGCCTTTTTCAAGGCCCAGATAAAAGGCTACTTCCTAAGGAAGGCCTTTCATAGCGGGCTGCTCCGGAATTTTGGTGTAGAATTGGCTCAGAGGTACAATCTGGCCAGGAGGAAGCTAGAAGCTGCTACTGAATAACACCAGTGTCCTGCTGAGCCATTTTGGAGCCCGAGGCAAAATGGAAAATGTTCATCCAATACCCACTTTTTTATTAAAAAATATATAATGTATTTATTTATCTCGATGACTGCATTTTATGGCACTCCCTTAAAATTTGCCCCTGGGGCAAGAGCCCCACTCTCCTCACCCTAGTCCTGGCCCTTATTAGGTAAGTCCTTGTACATTATTGCCTTATACTTGGAAAACCTTTGTCCTCTGTTCCTCAACTCTGCAGCTGCCTTCCTCGCCTCCCTCCATGGAGCTCTCTAAGAGCACTGTTCTTTGCTGATACTCAAGTTATGTATATTCAGTGTCAGATGTAAGAGGCACAGGGGAGAACTAGCTTGAAGGGTTCTTTAAAGAAACCCTGCTCAAGACAGTTTCCTAGCGGAGGCAAGGAGACCACAAATTTTGGTAAAAAAAAGGGGGGGGGGGCTGGGAATGTATCACAATAAAGGGACTGCAAATGAGACATCCTCTATGACAAGGAGTCTCCAAAGAACCCATAAAATACCTATAATATTTTTTTAAATGCTGTTTTGATCCAGTTTAGAGGCCCCGGCTAGAGGGTGGTTAGTTCCCCTTCTTAAGCAGCCAATTCAGTCTACTCCCCCAACCACCTCTTAGGCTGTCAAATCCAGGCCACACTATATACCTCTCCTAATCACCCCAGGATCAGGTACCAAACAACCAAGGACAGCCCCATGCCCACAGAAATTATTCAGACTAGCCAATCAGACTGCTTTTCCTGCATTGCCCTTTTCTTCCTACAGAACCCATAGTTACCCTCTCTCCCTCTGCCTTGTATAACATATCCCAGTGTTTTGCCGGAGTGGCCCTGCATGGCATGCGGTGTTCTGTCCAGGGAACTATGAGTGTAACAAAATTGTGAAACTTTCTGTTTTTTTTTTCCTCTTGATCTGTGTCTAGCTTCACCATACCTTACCCAAGGTAATATGGTTCAAACAATAATCCAGAGAGAAAAACCTTGGAATATATACCAGGCAGATCAGGACAGCACCAAGCAAACAAGACCACCTTGAGACCTCCCTCCCACCCTTTCCTGGCGAGGTCAGGAAATACTGTTAACAATCTTGAGGAGTGTAATATTGTGGTTCAAAAGATCTTGGTGGAAAAAAAATAGAGGAAAAGCTCTGAACATGCTGTTTCTCTCCTGTTTCTATAAATGGAATTCTCAGGTTTGACTATTATACAGAACTGGATATTTTCATTAATGAAATGAGACTATTCATGGGATTAAAACCTCTGGAGGTTTTTCTGTCACCTGAAGAGGAACAGAAAACTAGTGGGACTAACCCCACATGTCACTCAGAGTTGAGGGGGAAAAAATGTGTTCCATAGAGCAAGCTCCAACAGACCAAGTTGGGGAAAGAACAAAGAGAGAAGAAACTTGCTTTTTTATTTCACTTTGTCTCTTTCAGTGTAACTGTTACACATATTACATCTCTCCATCCTATACACCCTCCAGTTTGTCCTTGACCCTGAAAAACATGAGGCCAGGAAATAGATACAACTTTCTGGACAATGAGATTCTTACAGCTCTATTAGTTGGTTCACTTTAAGTTCTTTTTTACATGAACTGTTGTTTATATTGGATGCTTATTATCTGTTTTTGCCTGCACCCTTTTGCAACAGTGGGGATTGTAACCCACCCCACCATTCTTTTGACATTGTATCTGTAAATGCTGACTCTGACTAATATGTAACTTGTAGATAAACAGCATATTTGTGTAAGAATACTAGGAACTAACTTCGAAAGATACAGACTTCATGTCTGGCTGGTGAGGCTCAGTGGTTGAGCTTCAACTCATGCACCAAGAAGTCACCAGTTCGGTTCCCAGTCAGGACACATGCCCAGGTTGTAGGCTTGATCCCTGGAGGGGGAAATGCTGGAGACAGCCAATTAATGTTCTCTCTCATTGATGTTTCTATCTCTCTCTCCCTCTCACTTCCTCTCTCTCTAAAATCAATAAAGAAAAAAAAAAAAAAAGATACAGACTCCAATCTGCAATCTTCCCAGTTCTGGAAGATTTCCTGACCGCCAACTCTATAACTAGGATGACATAGAACCAGGATGATGAAGACCAGGATGACACACTCCAAATCATCACTTGGCCAGTTTCGAGATCCTTATCAGAAGACTATGCTTGTCTGTATGTAGAGGACTTTCCCACCTCCTCCCTTTGATTTCTTTGTTCTGCTTTCCCTCTTCCTCCTTGTAAAACCTCTGCCTGCACTGAGATATTGAAATGAGTTTTGTGACAAGCATTCTCCATCTCCTCAAGGTGACTGGCACTTGAATGAACCTCTTTCCTTTTTCACCAGCATCTGTCTCCCAAGTTTGGTTTTTATGGCAGCAGAAATTGGGTTCTGGTTACACTTTCCCCTTTCTTCTGGGAAGTCCTTTCTATTTTTTTTGTTGGGGAATGATTCTTCCCACACTCCAATCTTAAAAAGTATCATTTTCTCACATGTTCTTACTACCTTGATCAGTTCCTGAGTGATCGCTGGACAAAAGCTGAGCCAAAGGTTTTCTCTAGATTTTTAAAGTTGAAAGAAAATAGGAAAAAGAGACGTCCACTTTTACCCTTAAAGTACTAACTGCCATGGAAACCCCCCCTCCCCCCCCCCCACACACTGTAAACAACTAGAAAAACAAACAAACAAAAATACATCCAGCAACTGCTTTCAAGCATTGGACAACAGGCAGCATGGGATTTTGATAACTATGAAAATGATGTGAGTCCTACAACTGTCCCAGATTGCTGACTCAAAGTAGCTTCCAGGTATCACTGCAGGAGGGGGAACCTAAACAGAGCCCAGAAATCTCAGATTTCAAGAGACAGAGATCAGAGTTCAGAAAAATTGAAGCAGCTGGAATTCATGGAGCAAAGTATCAGAGAAGAGGGCATAGAGAGAACTCTAGAGATCTTCATAGGGAGCCCTTCAAGTCTTTATCTGGATACTGTTCAGAACATGCATGGGTGAAATTCTAGAAAGCCAAGGAAAGAACCACCAAATATCAGTATACCAAATATGTCCTGGAGCTCACACACCAGTCAAAATAGAGAGACCTCTTAACATATGAAGCATTGGACAGAGTCCTCAAAAGCAGACTTAGTGGATACCAAAATGGTAGCTGAATGAATGGAAGCAACATTGACCTTCTCCCAGGACCAAACTGGAATTATAACTAAAATATAGAAATATGCTGAATAATCAACCGAATACTAGTTGGAAAGAGTGCTTATAACCAAGGATGTAAAGAGGAGCCCATATTGAGACTAGTAGAAAGTGCACAAGCATGAGAGGGCTGGCTGGGCTCCCACAGGCAGCAGCTGAAGTTCCAGAGGAATATCTCAGCTTTCAGAGATTCCCCCTGAGAAGCCTGCAACCTAAATCTCAAGTTGGGCTCCCCATCCCAGGGTAATAGAACTGGAGAAGAAACCGATATTACATCTGGCTGTGAAAAGCACCAGAGGTTCTGTCTGGCAGGGAGAGATGGCTAGAAACACAGGCATCCTCTTGAAGAGCCAATACACTAAATTTTGTTTGCAGCCACCCACCTTGGGCTCTGGCAGAGGGAGGGCAGAGTGGACTAGAGCTGCATGTGGAGATTCTGGGGTTTGTGGCTCTGGGGAGAATGCTGGAATGACCACTGCCTGGATCCCTGTGCTGAGTCATTACCCCACACTGCAGAAGCCATTTTTCTCAAGCAGATTTTTCCCATCAAAGTAGCTTTAGCCCAGGGGGAAGCAATTGCCCCAACCAATGGAAATTCTCTCATCCTGCCTGCCAGGTGGAGTTTATACCTGGCAGAGAACTACAACCTGAGGCTCATTAAGTGACTAAGACTAACAGCCTTCAGGGCAGAGGCAGATCTCTGGGTGCTTTGAGTCTTTGCCTCTCCTGTTCTTCTCCTAGGGCTTGTAAAAACAGACCCTGGTGTTCAGCTTTGTCTTTTCCATACACATACAGCCCCAGAAGAAGGAGTCACAAGCAGTGGATCACTGACAGCCACAGGGAGATTTTGGTAGGCTCCAAATACCGCTGAGGTGAATTACACTTCATGTGATAAGCAACTGCACAGCAGCCTGCACACTGTGTT